CATGTGGCTTCCTAGACTTGGAGAGTCAAGCCTGGCTGCCTCCAGAGAAGGCCCATGTCTGCGGCGTGTCTTGCACGCCGTCCTCGCTTGTTCCAGCCATGGGCGCCTGCAGACACATTGTGTGTCGTTACGTGCAAATGCGCGTTTGGGGTGGATGCGCCTATAGTCATGGAAGGAAAACCACAGGGACCCGACGATTGACATTTGCTAAACGGCCCTGGGCGTTTACTGAACAGCCTCGCCCTGTTCGATCTTTTCCTTAGGTGCGTTTGCTAGGCGCCTCTGCTTGTCCGGGTGATTATTTGGGGGGCGGGTCGTCTGCCCTCTATATATACACAGCGCAGTCGTCACATTCGGCGCAGTGCATGGTAGTAGGAGAAAGGACAGACCCGTCTACGGTATGATCCTGGTGTAGAGCCGGTCACACATGGTGCTCCAAAAGATGACCCCAGTAGGGTCGCACCCCCCCGTTTTGCTGCACTTGTCAGTGGCCTTCGTATGTGTCCTTGGTGTCCATTCGGCCTCGTCGTGGGACACTCCGGCCAGATCCCGCAGGGGACGGCTTGGGAGCTCCCCGATGCAGCCCAGCAGTGCCCGACTCCAGCTTTCCATTGGCTCTCGTCGCTCGCGCCCAGACTTACCAGCCTGGAACATATCCCTATCCCTATGCGTGGCACCTCCTCATCACGACGCCAATCTCAGGGATTCCCTTATTTTTTGAGGGCGAACCCCTAAGATTGTCATCGCCCTTTGGCGCGTCAATCTTAGGGATAGGGATACGTTCGAGGCTGGTCACAGACGGCCCCCGCGGCACAATGGCCCGTGCTTGGGGGCCGCGTCTCCTGCTGGGAGGGGGGAGGGCACCCTCGCGCGGCGCAGGTGTCGAACATCGAGGCGGCGGCGGGGGCCACGGCTGCCCTGGCGCGGACCGAGCCCGCTGCCGTGAGAGCCCACGGCAGGCTGGGATCTGTAAATTGACACCGCGCCGGCGCACCCGTTCCTGACGGGAGTGCGGGGGAGGGCAAAAAGGGGGGGGGGATGGCTAGAGCTGTGGAGGACGATCCATGGAGAGGAAGCGTGTTGCCAACTGCTTTCCAGACGTCTAGGACATCTGTGAAACATCGGCTGAACACATGTTTTAAACCTGCAAAAAACATGTTTAAACCATGCTTAGAACATTTTTCGACATTTTAACCACATGTTAAATTCAATGATAGGACTGTTAGGGTGCCCAGTGTCGTGGCATCCACAAGACTAGAGGGGGGTGGATCTCATGGCGGGGGCCATGGTATCTTCTCAGATTTCATCGCGCCTCGTCTTACTTCAGTACGTCGGTCCCCCCCCCCCCGGGCCGCGCACATGCCGCCGGCCATGATTTGCGCCCACCCCTCTTGGACGCCCTCCCCCCTTTGCGCCCCCCTCTGTGTCTTCGGGGAAGGCTTCGAAAACTTTTCAGAAGGCCTGTGGACTTCCGAGCCTTCTGAGAAGGCATTCTCCTTCTCACTTCCCCCCCAGGCTCCCCGCCGATAGTAGGTCGCGATGGCGGGAACGTGTCCGGGAGGAGAGGAGTTTGGAAAGCTTTTGTGTCGTTTTTGGTTCCCGAGGCCCAGGGCCCTTCCTTGGCCCCATTTGTTGTCAGAGAGTGATCCTAGTACCTTGATTTAGTCCTTGGGGGACCTCCTCCTCCTCCTGCTCCTCCTCCGCCTCCTCCTCCTCTTCCTCCTCCTCCTTCTCCTCCCTCCTCCTCCTCCTCCTCCTTCACTTCCTTTTCCTCCTCCTTCTCCGCCTCCTCTCGCTCCTTCTCCTTCTCCTCCTCCCCTTCCTCCTTCTCCTCCTCTCTTTCTCTTCCTCCTTCCTCCTCCTCCTCCTCCTCCTCCCTTTTCTCCTCCTCTCCTCTCGCTCCTTCCCCTCCTCCTCCTCTTCCTCCTCCGCTTTCTCGTAATCCTTCCTCCTCCTCCTCCTCCTCCTCCTCCTCCTCCTCCGCCTCTTGCCCCTCCCTCCCTCCCTACTCTTCGCCACGGGCCCCATCAGCGGCGCGCGCCTGCGACGCCTCTTCTCCTGCTACTCCAGGCTGGCATGAAGATAATGGGTACTGGACCCTGGGGCGTCCTCCCAAGAAGACAAGGAGGAGGAGGAGGAGGAGGAGGAGGAGGAGGAGGGGGTAGGAGGAGGAGGAGGAGGAGGAGGAGGAGGAGGAGGAGGAGGAGGAGGAGGAGGGATATAAAAGACAGCGGAGGGGGGAGGATCGATGAGCATGGGGACGAGGGAGGAGTGAGGAGTTGAGAGCAGTGTGGGGGGGGGGGGCTTGAAAGGAGCGAGGGAGGAACGGGCAGGCGTGCCGAAGGCGCGGCGGCACACGCCTGCCAAGCCGCGCGTGCGCCGCGGTGCCTCTCGGCCACGGGCTCGGCAGTCAGGGCGGCCTGGGCAACAGTGGTGCAGCTCACACTCGTCTCCTCCGTCGAGGGGGGAGGAGGGGGAGGGGGAGGATTATGAGAGGGGGGGGGAGAATGCGAAGGGGGAGCGAGGTGCGAGGAGGAGGAGGAGGAGGAGGAGAGGAGGAGGAGGAGGAAGAGGAAGAGAAAGAGAAGGAGGAGGACGAGGGGAGTAGTTCATAGGAGGATGCGGAAGAGGAGGAAGAGGAGGAGGATGAGGAGGAGCAGGAGGAGGAGGAGGAGGAGGAGGAGGAGAAGGAGGAGCAGAACGAGGAGGAGGAGGAGGAGGAGGAGGAGGAGGAGAAAGAAGAGACATAGGAGGACGAGGAGTTCATAGGAGGAGGGGGAGGAAGAGAAAGAGGAAGCGGAGGAGGAGGCGGGGGTGGAGGAGGAGGAAGAGGTGGAGAAAAAGAGCTGGCGCGCAATGCCGTCCCTCGGCAGCCACATCCGAACCAAACCCTGGCCGGCCAACGATGCAGGCAACTCATGGCAAACCGATGGGCGACCGGGGCGGGGCTCGGAATCCGTTGAACACTTGGCGAACCCCCGCCTCCCGTGGAGGCCCCTCAGATGGGGTCGAAGCAGACGGGGTCGGAGGATCTCGCCGCATCGTCGATGCATCACGGATGCATCGGCGATGCGCCGCCCCGCCGTCGGCGAGGCATCGGCGCCGCCGGCATGGAGAACATTTTGGATCTACAGAGAACCGGATTGCCGATGCATCGGCGATGCGGCGCGATCTTCCGACCCCATCTGCTCCGACCCCATCTGTCACCGCCCACCAAACCACCCCAACCCAACCCGAAGGTCCCGATTTGCCCCCCATTTCCAGTGGGGGGGGGTCGGGGAACATTGGAAAAACACATATGAAGCCCGTACCCCCCCCAACCCGAAATTCGGGTCTTCGGGTTGGGTTGGGGTGGTCTGGTAGGTAGTCAATCTGGGAGGCCCAGATCCCATCGGTTCAGAAGAGCCGATGCTTGGCGGGTGTAGGGTTCGGGTGTCGCCACGTGCCCGTGGCGCCTGTCGTCAGCGGCGGCGCGCCTGAAGCGCGCCGCCGTCCTCCGGTCGTGCGTGGTTAACCGCGATAGGTCTTGAGTATCCCCTTGATCAAGGGGCTTCAATGTACTTATGCTTATCTTTATACAAATCTTCGGCCCCTGCTTTAGGGCCGCCGACACCAGACATGTTAGGCAAGTAGGTGTTCTGCCGCCGCCGTCGCCGACGTCGCGGAGGAGGAGGAGGAGAACGGGAGGAGTTCCATCACCTCGGAGTCAGGCCGCGACGCATCCTCTGGCCAAGAGCTCTTTTGGGGGTGCCCGACAGGTCTGCAGACCTCCCGAGGTTAGCGTTAAGTCGGGCATGTCCCTCTACAGGAGGAACGTTCAAGGACAGTGGCACATTCTCTGGAGACGGTTTTTCGTGTTCATTTGCTTCACCATGGTTGTGTATTGTTTGACACTTCTTATGTCTCTCCCAACATCCCCCTGCTGGAGGGCATGCCCGACCCCAGGGGTTCGCGCAGCCGCGTGCGGCCGAGAGAGCGAAGCAGGGGGGGGGCCGCGCGAGGGCTCGAGCTCGGCCGAGCCCGGGCCCTGCGAGCGTGGCGGAAGCGCGGCTCGAGCCCGGAAAGCCGCGGAGCCCGCGGCGGCCTCAGGCCGCCGCTGCCGCCTCCCTCCGCTCGCTCGGGGTCCCCTGCAGATCCCACGTGCACTTCGGTGCAGTGGTTCGGATGCAACTCCATGGGAGGTCAGATTCGGATTTCGCCCCGGTCCGACATCCAGTGTAATCCGGCTTCATCCCGCTCAATCTGGCGCAATCCCGCCTGATCCCGCTGAATCCCGCTTAATCCGAGGCCCACTCTTGCGTAACAGCCCCCCAATGGGGCTTATCAATTTCCTTCCGACGAAGACCTCCCAGCAGCTGCCTCCTAACAGTGGGGGCCCATGCCAAGAAACACCCTGCTTGCCTCCAGGGTGCCCTGGGTTTCTTTGGCTTCGATGGTTTCGCCATGGGAAGCGTGGCGTTCCCATACCAAAAACTTGGGTTGGATTTCTTGTGGGAGGTTTCTTGTGGACTGACCTCCACTGTAGCCGAGCATGGGAGCCTAGTGTACCCTCTGAGTTCCGTCTTCAGCGTCGGGTATCCTCGATTGGCGTCTGGGAGTCGACGAATTAGCGCCAGTTTAGTGATTTAGCGTCGAGTCGCGTTAATTTAGCGTCGATCAGCTTCGATTTGGCGTCGATTAGCGTCGATTCGCAAGAGCCGACAATTTGGTACGGGAGGCTCCCATGAGTTGCCACCGAAGTATAAGAAACAGGATGGGCCGGATATCTTCCAGACAGAGTCAGGGGAGAGAGGAGCGTAGTATTCAGATTGTGCAACAGTGCAGGCCGTAATCGTAGATGAGGCGGGGTAGTAGTAGAGGGGAGATGCTCTCTCCTCTACCCCCCATCATCTGTCTCATCCCCCCTCTCAGCCTCCTCCCCCTCCTTCTCGTCCCCCTGCTCACTCTCCTTGTCGTCCCCCCTCCTCCCCTCCCCCTGCCCTTGCTCCTCCCAGCGCCAGCGGACAGGCCTACAAGAGTGCGATCAAGAAGGCCGACAGCCAGCTCAAGTCCAAGTCGGAGTGCTCCCCGCTGTTGCTGCTTTCTCGGCCACTCTGTCCTTTCGCACCGCGAGACCGGCTTCGCAGCCGGAAGGCGGCGCACCGAACAGAGGGGATGGACGCACCGAGGGAGGCCACGCCGGCACAGGCAAGCCGGCCGCCACCCCCCACCGCGCTCGCCTGGCCTACGGCAATCCCCCCCCACCCGCAAGGCTGCGGTGTCCTCGGACGAGCCTCCCGAGCTCGACCCCAGGCTCTTCCGCACGAGCGAAATGGGTACGGAGAGAATGGGTACAATGCCCAACAGCAGTTCTTGTTCATTCTGAACAGGACTCGTTGTCCACGCCGCCGCGGCCTGTGTCCATTCGAGACAGAAGGCCGCCTGCCCAACAGCGGCCGCTGTTGGTCTGGGGCAACATTTGTTGTTGGGCTTTGTACCCATTCTTTCCGTACCCGCTTCGGGCGTCCAAAGCTCTGGCCCAGCGGGCACTTCACCACGAGTTGCGTGGGCGTGCCGCCGCGGCGTGCCGGGTCCTGTCCGGAGTGCGTACCGTGCCCCCGCGAGCACCTGTGACGCCAGCGCCACTGCGCCAAGCGCGCCGTCGGTGCCGGCGCGGTCGAGCCAGTCAGCACTTGGCCAGGCAGTTGCCCCCTTCCGCGCAGGCTCAAAGACTAGACTCTATGGTGTGCGGTGGCTTTCCAGCTGGAGTTGCCCACTGGCTTTCTGCGTGCTTTGGAACTCGCGCAGCCTGTTGTTGAGCTCCCAGTGGCCGATTTTGCATCGTCGCGATGCGCTCCTGATCGTGGTGTCGAACGGCGTGTGATTCTGTTTGAGCCCTGACGGCCTGTGGCTGATTTCGGACCAGGCGAGCCTGCTGTGGGACCCTCGGGGGATCTGGAACTTGTTCTGCATGAGTTTGCATTCCCGTGTGGGCGGTGTTGAACCAGAAGGGCCTGTGGTTGTTTAGGATTGTGTGTATCGGTGGTCCCTGAAGTCAAAGTGGTCGCTCGAGAACTTGGCAGGATTGCGGTTGCATTATTGTAGGTAGTCATGGGTCTGAGCAGTTTTTGATAGATTTGGGCCTGGTCGGTTTGTGATTGAATGAACTGTAGTGGTAATGTTGCTGGTGGTTGAACTTTCCCAGCTGTGCGCAATTGCCAGACCGCGTGGTGGATGATCTTCAACTTGAACGGCCTGCGGGTCATACCTTTCAGGAGCGGGAGGGGGACTGACACTCGAAACGCGGAGTGCTGAATTGCAGGCTGGCGACCTGCACATCCGCAGCCCAGGCCGCCGTGGGGCTCACTCGCGCGACAGTTGCACCCAAGGCTGCATAGTGGAGGTTTCGTCGCTGGTTGCATGAGCACGCCCTGTTTCTGGAAGAGTCTTGGGGCTGCTGAGGAGGCCTCCCGCCGCTGCGGTGAGGAATGGGGGGTGGCGGGGTCCAGTTGAGCTGCACGAGCCGCCCCCGGGACAGGTGCCCCATTGACGCTTCTCTGCCACGCCTGCTCCTGCCTGCCGCTGCTCCTCGCTGCATCCCGAGAGATGCGCATGCCCACACCTCGAGCGGACCCGCCAAGGTCCCGGGCAGATGCTGACTCTCAGCTGCGCGCAGGCATCGGGGGCGGAGCAGAGGGGGGTGATGCCTATGAGGGGGTGGACATCATGGCGAGGGCCACGCTCTCTCCCCAGATCTCGTGGCGCCGCCTCTCGTTGCAGTACGTCCCCGGCACCCCCTTCGGCCGCGCACGTGCCGCCGGCCACGATCTGCACCCCCCCCTCTTGGACGCACCCCCTCTCTTGGCCGCCCCCAAGGGTAGCTGCGTGCGCGCGCTCCGTGAGCGCGCCGCCCTCGCGGCGTTCCCGCCAGGAGACGGGCGACAACCTGCAGTACATCGACTTCCACCAGCTGAAGATCGAGAACCAGCAGTTCGTGCACCGCATCTTGGAGGGTGAAAGCGGGGGTCGGGCGCATGGTCCCGGCAATGGTGTCTTTGTGGGCCATGCATGGGCGATACATCCTCGATTGATGTGTGTCGGCGGGGGACACTGGATGCCGATCATACCCGATCGCATACATGAGCGACGCGATACACATCGAGCATACATGGGCCATTCGGCCCCCACTGAAGACCCCCGGTTGCAGACCCCCTGCTCCACCCTCCAAGCATCGAGGAGGCGAACCAGGAGCTGCTGGTCCTCAAGAGGACGCCCGCCCCCCCCAAACGCCCGCCGCGCTGCACCGAGAGCTCCCGCGCTGCGGCCTCGCCCCCGAGGCGCCGCCGGCCCTCCGACCCGCTCGCCGCACGCTCTCCCGCTCGGGGCCTCCGTGGAACTCGCGGCGGAGCAGGGCAGTCGACGGAGCCCGGGCGGGGCGCGGTGCACGGGCGCGCCGCGCTCGTGGCGTGGCCTGGGCCAGGGCCGGCTGCACGGGTGTCGGCCGCGCGCAGAGGGGGGGGGCGAGGGGGGGAGGGGGGGAGGGCTCCTCAGAGGCACCCCCGCCGCTCAGAGGGCGCGGGCCCTCGGCTGCAGGTGCAGGGCCGCCGCCCTCTGAGGAGCAGCCCTGCTTCTGAGAAGCCCCCCGCCCCTCCCTCCACCCCTCCTGGTGCGCGCCGCCAGAGGTGGCCGCATGTCGTTCCAGCCCGTCTCCCTCGCACGGCCGGGCACGCCGCCCCTTCCCCTCCCCGCGCGCACGTGTGTGTCGTCCAAGAAGCGGTGTCCGCATGCCCCGCCTGCGGGTCAGGCCGCGCGCGCGTGCCTCCAGCGTCCGGGTGTGCCATGGGCGCGGGCACCAACACAACGAGGCACATGCTGTGCCATGACCGGGTGGTTGGCGGGCTGTGGTACGTTGCATCTTCGGGGGCCCTCGTCTGTCCCTGATACGGGTATGCCCGACGCGGATCTGACGCGGACTCGACGCGGATTTGGCGGTCGACGACGCGGATTCCACGTGGATTCGACGCGGATTCGACGAGTCTGGCATGAATTCGACACGGATTCGAAGGGGGCTCGGTGGGACAGGCAAGGTTCCCCGATGATGCAACATGAGTTGGAGGGCGCCGGCCAGACCTTTCCAGCGCTCATTTGGACTTCCTCCGACTCGACGCGACTCTATTCCGATTCCAATTCCGATTCGGTTCGATGTCGGTGACTTGGATTTCGGTTTCTCAATGGAGGCCTTCCTAGCCTGTCGATTCCCGCCGATCCGATCCACTTCGATCGCCGACCAAACTCATCGATTCGATCCTGGGTTCTCCTGCCCTTTCCGCGGTGGCAGTGGTGGCGGTCGAGGATCGGCTCCCCGTCGCCGACGACGACGACGACGACGACGACGACGACGACGACGACGACGACGACGACGACGACGCTCGCGCCTGGCCACCATGCCGGGCCCATGTCGGAGGCCTAGGGGTTGACCCCGACGCCAATATGGCGGTGTGCCTCCGCCGAGGGAAGAAGCTCCCGATCTCGGTGATGTTGGTCATGTTCGGGCTTCCCAGGTGGCCGAAAGAGGACCACCGACACCGCACTCTAGGGACCATCCTCCCCCGGCGGGCGCACCCCCCCTGCTTTGGCGTCGGTGCCCATTTCCAAGATGACGACGACGACGACGCCGACGACGACGACGACGCCGACGACGCCGGCGACGACGACGCCGACGACGACGACGACGCCGACGACGCCGACACCGACGACGACGCCGACGACGGCTCGCGCCTGGCCACCGTGCCGGGCCCGCCTGCCCTGAGGATGCGGCCCGCGCCGAAGCGCCCCCGCAGGGGCCGCCCCCGAAGGCGCTCTCCTCCCGAAGCCTTAAGTCGGGCGTGTCCCTCTACAGGAGTGATATTCAAAAATAGCAAAAAAAATTGTCAGGGGACGATTTCTTGACTATTTTTGCTGATTTGGGGGGCATTTTTTGGGAACATTTTCATTTTTCCCGCAAAAACCCCTTGTCGGGGGACGCGCCCGACTTGGCCGAAGCCCTCCGCGGCGCTGGGCGGCGCAGAGCCAGAGGCTGCGGCCCTCCGTGGGCCTCCGCTCTCGGGGCCCGGAGATCCAACGTCTTGAACAAACCGCGGCGGAGGTTGGTCGCAGATTTTCGGCCTCGATGGGGGCCTCCCCAGAGGTCCAACACACTGAGAGAGCATCGCGACGGAGGTTCTTCGCAGTTTCCGGCCTCGAGGGGCCCTCGCCGGGTCCCGGGGCCGTGGAAAAGCGACTCGGGGTGCAACGCCGGTCCCGGGGAAGGGGTCGGAAAAGAGGGGGGTGATGACTAGGGGGGGGTGGATATCATGACGTGGGCCATGATATTTCCCCAGAGTTCATGGCGCCTCGTCTTATTTCATTACGTCCCTGGCCCCCCCGCTGGGCCACGCACATGCCGCCGGTCATGATCTGCACCCCCCCCTCTTGGACACCCCCCTCTTGGCCGCTCCCGACTGGGGAAGGGACGTCGGGACCTTCGGGGGCCCCGCATGGAAGAGAGCACGACGTCGGACCTCTGGGCCCGCGCTCGGGCGCGTGCGCCTCCCGGCGAGGCCCAGACCCCGAGCAGTGGCGAGGCGTCCGAGCTCGCCTACAGGCCTGCCAGAGAAGGTTCTGAGAGCCTCCTGTGGTCTGCGCGAGATGTTCTCGGAGCATCACACCCGGACCCCCTCGAGTTAGGAAACAATCACGACGGGAGGCTTTTCATTATTTTTGGCCTTTGGGGGCCCTTACCTGCCCTCGGGACCGTCAAAAAAACGACTCAGGACGAAAAACCAGTCCCGGGAATGGGTCGAGACCTCGGGGGGTCGACGTCATGAAAAAATCATGACGTCGGGGGTCTGGGTACGGGGTCTCCAGAAGTCTCGACCCCTTCCCCAGGACCGGCTTCTCATCCCGAGCCGTTATTCGACGTGCTTGGGGCCCGGCGAGGGCCCCCCGAGGCCGAAGCATGCGAAAAAAACCTCCGTCGGGATTCTTGTCAGTGCGTGGGACCTCTGGGGAGGGGGATGAGGAGGAGGAGGAGGAGGAGGAGGAGGAGGAGAAGGAGGAGGAGGAGGAGGAGGAGGAGGGTCGGCAGAAGGCAGGCCCCCAGAGGGTGCTCGGGGCGGCCGCACGCGGCGGAGGGGCTCGGCTCGCTCTCTCCGGGGGGCACCTCGCGGGCGGCGGGGGCCTGCCGCAGGTTCCAGCACACGGGGGCGGTGGCGGAGCGTGCGGCGAGGTCTGCGGGTGAGTCTTGTAAGTCGGGCGTGTCCTTCCACGGGAGGAAGATGCAGAGATAGTCCAGAAGTAGTCTGGGGGCGATCTTTCGACCATGTTTGAGCATTTCTGGGGTACCTTTTGAGCCTGTTCGGTTCTTCCTCCAGGATTCGCTTGTAGGGGAACATGCCCGACCCAAGGTGAGGCCGGGCATGCCCACCACCTACAGGCAGAGTCTGGAAGACAGGTGTAAGACAGCCAAACGGTCAAGCAAAAAAGCACGTCAAGAAGGCAGGAACACATCGTCGCCATACTATTTCTCTCCTGTGCGTGAACCCTGTTCGGCGGGGTCCGCCCCGAAACACAGGCCAGTACCAGGACCCCCGACGCCATGGCCTCTTCATGACGTCGACCCCCAGGGGTCCCGACCCATTCCCCGGGGCCGGCTCTTCCTCCTGACTCGAGGGGCTCTGGGGATGGACCCCCAGGATGGGCACGGGGACCGCCTCGTGAGCACGGGTCCCGCAGAGATCCGATGTGGTGTTTTTTTCGATGCGGGGTCCCCGGAAGTCTCGACCCAGTCCCCATGGCAGGACCGCTTTCCCCGGGACCGGTCCTTCCTCCCGGAGGTCGGGGCTCGTTGGCGGCCCCGCGGCCCCGGGGAGGGCCTTCGGCGGCCGAACATGGCGAGAAGCCTCGCGCCGCGCTTGCATGTCATGGCTCGGGGGGAGCCATGGGGGCCCAGAGAGCCGACGTGGTGATCTCTTCCCTGCGGGGTCCCTGGAAGTCTCGACCCAGCGACCCGTTCCCCAGCACCCGTGTTCCACCCCGAGCCGTTCCACGACGCTCCCGGGGCCCGGCGAGGGCCCCTCGGGGCCGAAAGTTGCGAAGCACCCCCGTCGTGGGCCTCTGGGTTATAGTCCTCTCCTGGTCTTTGAAGGTTCCTCCCGCTCGCTCGGGCCTCGCGAGGCCGCGCGCTCTGCCGCCGCACCGGTGCGCGGGGCCCCCCCCCAAGGGGGGGGGATCGGGCCGCAGGCCTTCTTTGTCGGCCCCTTCCCTTGGCATCGCTTGGACGTGTGCATTTTTCCTTCGGCGAGGACCATCGAGGAGCATCCTTGATCATTTGGCGAAAAAGCCACGCACGAAACCTAAAAAAACACAGGGAATGGACGTCCGAGCGATGCCCAGTTCCTGCCCCCCCGCCCGGCCCTCGCTCCCCGTGCCGCGGCCTCCCTCCTCGCTCCCCCCCAGGCCTCTCGCGATCGACGAGCAAACGTGAGGTCGGGCGCGTATTCCTACAGGGGGGGTTAGGTCCAAAATAGAAAAAAATAAAGTATGGGGACTATTTTTGAAGTATTTCTTATTTTTTTGTTCCTGGAAAGGGCTGGGGCCCAGGGTTCTCTTTTAGATGGTTTACCTCCGGTTTTGACTTGTTGAGGGCCGGCGAAATTATTTTGCGTAAATATCGAGGTAATGTGCTTTTTTATTTAAAAAAGTGCGTTTCGTGCATGCCCGCTCGAGGAAAGTGCGCCCCCCATCTCGGATCCTCGATAAAAAAACGGGGTCCGCAGACCCGCGTTTTCCCTCGTGAAGAAGATGGTGCGGAGCGTTTTTCGCAGAATCTTCGACAAATAACGAGGTCCGGAGCCCCGACCGCGACGCGGAAAAGCGCCCCGCGCACAGGAATTCCGAGGATGTCTCGCGCGTGCCGCGTCCCGCGCGCAGGAATTTCCAGGATGTCTCGACTAATTCGCTTGTTTTGTCAGGATTTCTTAAAATTTTGGCAGGACGTCTCGAGCGAAACGCTTGTTTTTCATCATTTGTTGAGGATGTCTCGAGCGAAACGCTGGTTTTGCAAAATTTGGGGATGTCTCGAGCGGGGGCTTCGTGGGGGGCCAGAATTCAGAGGATGTCTCAAGCGAAATGCTTGTTTTCGTGTCCCGCTCGCAGGAATTCTGAGGATATCTCGCGCCCCGCGCGCAGGAATTTCGAGGATGTCTCGACTAATTGGTTTGTTTTGCTAGGATTTCTTAAAATTTTGGCACGATGTCTCGAGCGAAACGCTTGTTTTTTTTAAAATAATTTGTTGAGGATGTCTCGAGCGAAGCGCTGGTTTTGCAAAATTTGGGGGTGTCTCGAGCGGGGCTTTCGTGGGGGGCCAGAATTCAGAGGATGTCTCAGGCGAAATGCTTGTTTTCACGTCCCGCTCGCAGGAATTCCGATGATGTCTCGCGCGTGCCGCGTCCCGCGCGTAAGAATTTTGAGGATGCCTCGACTAATTCGCTTGTTTTGCTTGGATTTCTTGGGATTTTGATAGGATGTCTTGAGCGAGCGCTTGTTTTTCATCATTTGTTGAGGATGTCTCGAGCGAAACGCTGGTTTTGCAAAATTGGTGGATGTCTCGAGCGGGGGCCTCGTGGGGGGCCAGAATTCAGAGGTCTCAGGCGAAATGCTTTTTTTCACGTCCCGCTCGCAGGGATTCCGAGGATGTCTCGCGCGTGCCGCGTCCCGCGCGTAGGAATTCTGATGATTTTGACAGGATGTCTCGAGCGAAACGCTTGTCCCCAGCACGTTCCGTAGCGCGTCCCCTTGGCACGTCCCG